GATGCTTCGATTTGAGTAGACCAGTGGCCGAATCGATTGTGAAAAGCTAAAAATTTTGTCAATTTGTCATTTTGTCACCCCAAATTTGACAAAAAGCTTCGAATGGAATTCAAATTTCGATGAATTTGTTTATTATGTCAATTGTGTCAATTGCTTAATTATGTCAATGATGTCAATATGTCAATTATTATGTCAATTGCTTAATTGCTCATTTCGGTATCTCGAATAACAGCACAAATATAAGACGACATTTGGACCTTTGCTAAATCGTCATCCAAAATCCGATAGTGANAAGAGGGATCGTCGGGTAATCTGCTGACCGAAGACCGACGCAGTTGTAGAATGTTAGTAAGAGGCGGTGAATTGGCTCGAATGAACCCAATTCTAGGCCCGATGAGAGCAGATCGTCGGGTAATCTGCTGGCCCTGCAGGCCTTCCTGCCCCTTCTCATCCTGCTGCTGCCGCATCTCCCCAAAAGGCTCGTGCCCAAGTTCCGGCGGAAGCGAATTGCCCAGGTAGTCAAACTGGGCCATTTCATATCCACCGAATTCGGTTGATGTGCTCGATACTTCTTCCGGTGTATGCTGGGCGTCGTCATTGAGCGGGATTTCAATGGTGACCATAGCCTGAAATGAGACTGAAATTAGTCTGGGGAAAGGCGAAATCAATTAAGACTCGAAAATCCCGAAAACCAAAATCATTTCCTCAATCCTCAATTCTTCAAGTCCCGTAATAATGAATAACCATCTCTACCTTAGTTTCCAAGCTGCTGCTGGATAAAGCGTCTCGATTTGAAGCTTTCACTTCACACCGAACTTCGATATGCTGATCGCTGCTGACATTGTTGTTGCTTTCGTTTGGAATATAGCTGCAACCAGCAGCAGCTAGCGACGGCCCCAAAATCAGGCTGTTCCACGGCCAAGCCACGAATATACGGCCCGTTAAGGGGTCTATCGAGAAACGACCCCCAGGACAGAGCAGAGAGTAGAGTACCAGGCCGTTTTGAGCCTCATCCGGATCGCTGGCGTTCACCTGTCCAACGAAAGCTCCCGCAATTGCCTGAAAAGATACTCATTACCCAAGAGATTGCCTGAAGATTACCTCAGATTACTACACAACAGATTACTACACTTACTACCGAGATTACCATGATTACCTGAAGTATAGGTAATCCCCAACCATAACAGTAAAAAGTACCCAAACTTGTAAAAAGTACCCAACAAAACCTACCGCTACATCACTCCGCAAGCGGAACCGGAAGCTCTCCTGGCTGAATCGAGGCGCATGATCGTTCTGATCCAGAACGCGAATCACCACCGACGTGCGC